AGCTCAAAAATAAATAAACAAATAATACTTATTAAAAGGAAGAATATATAGTTTGTACGCTTTCATTATGAATACATCCCCTTACACATGACCCCGTCACATTTTAACATGCTCTTCTGGGGCCCCAAGCGTTCTGCACATGACCTGCTTGGTGTGGAACACGGTCCTCCCCACTTCCATCAGCACCTAGCCAGACTCTCAAGGAACCAGGATCCCCTCATGGGGCAGAGCCCAGGTGGATGTGGTATGATCCTTCTCCTGCCACTAGAGGCAGCACAGGCCTCCCTACCCAAGTAAGGTCAGTAACAATTTCAAAAGAGGAAGGAAAGAGCTCCTTATTTTGAAAAAGGGACTGCACATGTTATCATTAACTCTTATTTTGAGAACACTCGGAAAACCATGAAATGTGCAAAGAAGTTACTTGTGAAGGCATGCAGGATTGTTTTAGACAAACAGGAAGTGGACTAAGCTGACTTGCTTATTAACTACTAAGTTAGCTCTTCTAACAAATTGCCCAGTGAAGAGAACAAACATACCGAAGGAGTGATTCAGTGACCAACACAACTTTTAACTAAGTGAGACTAAACTGAGTAATACTCTATCTTTGTGCTTAAATAAAGCTTTGATTTTTATTTATAAAACTAGGAATAGTCTGGCTATTCCATGATTAGGTGTGGTATTCTCATCCAGGAACAGGAAATATTTAGAGGATTATGTGCAAGTATCTAACTTAAGTAACACCCTGATTAAGTTCTAGAAGAAAATCAGAAATATTAGGAGTATTACTTAATACTTCACATTATTTGAATGATAGAAAGCTTTTGATTAATACTTACTAATAACCCAGAAAAAGGAATAAACAAAAATATATTTTATCCTCAGTAATTAAATTATGGTGTTTTTTAATTTTCTCAAGACTTTTTTTTCTATTTTCCAAACAATTTATGTTATTTTTATGATTAAAACAAAACAATAAATATAACAAAACGAGGGGGTTTTGACCCAGAATTCTGTTTCTGAAAGAATATCCTAAGGACATGATCTTAAACATGAAAAAAGTTTTTTGCATAAGGAGGTTTGCATCATGTTGTTATTTATAATAAAGATCCCCTTGAGAATGCATAAAGTGGAGAATTAATACACGAAGGCACATCTGCTCTGCGGAACACTGTATGGTTGACTAGAAGTTTAAAGCAATTTGTCTCTGTTCCTGCAGCAGACAAAAATATCAGAATTCAAACCATGGGTGCATAAACTCCTGGCCATTTGTGAAGCAAGAGCAAGTGCAAGCCGGGCTCAGTGGCTCAGCCTGTAATCCCACGCCTTGGGAGGCTGAGGTGAGTGAATTGCCTGAGCCTGTGAGTTCGAGACCCGCCTGGGCAACTTGGTGAGACCTCATCTCTACAATAAATCAAAAAATCAGCCGGGCATGTTAGTGCGCGCCTGTAGTTCCGGCTACTCGGAGGGCTGAGGCGGAAGGATCATCAGAACACAGCAGGTCGAGGCTGTGGTGGCCGGGAGCGGCCACTGCACTCCAGTCTGGGCGACAGAGTGAGACTCCAACTCAAAAAAAAAAGAGCAAGAGCAGAGGAGGGGAAGGAGGTTGAGGTCACAATGGGGGAGAGGTGTTTGAAAGGGACAGGGTGGAAGTCACCCTTTCATTTATTTATCTAGTTAGCAACAGAGGGTCACCTGAGATGGGAGGATCACTTGAGTCCAGGAGTTTGATTCCAGCATGGGCAACACAGCAAGACCTCCCTTCTACCAAAAAAAAAAATTAGCTGGGTATGGTGGCACATGCCTGTAGTCCCAACTACTCGAGAGGCTGAGGTGGGAGGATCACTTGAGCTAAGGAGTTTGAGGCTGCAGTGAGCCATGATCATGGTACTGCACTCCAGCCTGGGTGACAGAGTGAGACCTCAACTCAAAAACAACAACAACAGAGGGTCAAAATAGCTGTTTATTTTTGGAACAGTTAAGAAGGAAAAAAGTCCAAGTGTACAAATATTAAATGGGAAACAAGGACTGAGGTGACAGGTTTTTAGGGCTGCCAGGGTGTTAAGGGCTCAAAGGTGCTCATCATGTTCCTGACCTGCACGGAGCTCGCAGGCCTAGGCCACTGCCAATGATGGGACCAGCACCTTCGTGCACCTTCTGTGGCCTCAATACACATGGGAACTCCAGCAAACCTTAAGCTGAATGAATCTGGCACCCACTATGTCCACTGACTCCTAGAACAGTATCAGGAGTGTGACACATCCAAGGCCAGAAACGGCATATGGCATTTGGCCTTTTCCGAAAGACTTTCTCATTGGAAAGTCACATTTCAGTTGTAATCAAGAAAAAACAAAAATAGCTGAGTTATAGTTAAACATTTTATAACAACTCTCTCACTCTCCTGACAACTCCATGAAGTAGGTATGCATTGTTCCCCTTTCACAGAAGAGGACACTGAGATAGAGATGTAACATTTAGCTAGAAACTGTGAAGGTGGCATTCTAACGGCACTGTCATCCTGAGACCACTCCTAACTGCCACGCTGTTGTCTGCCTTGGGCACGAGCAGCTGAATAGGAAGCAAAGCATCGAAGAAAGTTGGAAGTTTTTTAGAGAAAGTTGATCAGATGACAGGTCATCTATGGGTGACCTGGAACAAGGGGAGCTGACCATCCCACACCTGCTGAGAGCAACCCTCTATGTGTGTGTGTGTCTGTATATGTGACTATGGGTGTGTGTATGGGTGTGTGTCTGTGTGTATGTCTACGGGAGTGTATGGGTGAGTTTGTCTATGTGTGTGTCTGTGTGTATGTCTATGGGAACGTGTGGGTGTGTTTGTCTATGTATGTGGTATGTGTCTATGCATGTGTCTATAGGTATGTGTGTATGTGTCTGTCAATGGATGTGTGCGTGTCTATGGGTGTGTGCCTATGTGTGTGTTTCTGTATATGTTTGTGTATGTCTACATGTGTGTGTCTACGTCTGTGTGTGTGTCCCTATGGGTGTGTATCTCTGTGTGTATGTGTCTGCTTCCACGGGGGGGTGTGTGTGTGTGTGTGTGTGTGTGTGTGTGCCTAAAGGGATATGTGTATGTGTCTATGGTGTGTGTCTGTGTCTGTGTGTGCGCGTCTATGGGTGTGTGTCTATGGGCATATGTTCTCAAAGACTAAGAATCTTTGGAGAGGTCCTTCCAGGAATGGGCCAAAGTCACCCAGGAACTGGGCCCTGGGCCAAGCAGAGCCACTACCAGTCAGGCTGTGACCAGGTGAGCTGCCTCCAGGTGCCTGTGGAGAGGTTAATGCAGCTGCAGTGTGGGGCTCAGGTGATGGGTGGCAATGCAAACTTCTTTAGCCACGCCACGTTACCTGTGAGCCAGAAGAGCAGAGAGTTCCGCTTGCCAGGCGGACACCCGACCTGGATTAAAGGCACTGGAGCTAAAAAGGAGAAGGTCAGTGACATGTGGAGCCAGAAGGCAGGACATGGAGCGACAGGTACTGGACAGAAAGGCCGGCCTGATGGGGGCCAGAATCCTTCATGCAGAGAGCAGGACACAGTGGAGAAAAAAAAAGAACACAGTTCTGATGAAGACACTGGGCAGACCAATGAGCCTGTGCAGGGAAGGGCAGGAGCTAGCCAAATATGCCCAGAGTCACCTCTCCTCCCTTCCAGCCACTCCAAGTAGAAAAGGAGGGCCTAGGGGTGGAAGGACAGAGCCCAGGCCCCTGACCAGGCCCCTGAGGCAGCTTTGCAGAGAAAGAGCACCCACGCCTGCAAGCCCTTCTGAATCAGACTTCCCCAGGCTGGACGGATGAGAGGTGCTTTTGGGAGGGGCAGGTAAGTCCCTGGGCCTGAGGTGTCCAGGTAAGGTCCACCTGCTCCAGAGCCCAGCTCTGAACCTTGTCTGTGCCCACCGCTGGGAATCTGTGATGCCTTGACTCATCCTAGTGGAGAGGCAGAGGGCACAGATGAGCTGAGCTGGGTGTCACTATTCGTGGGTGCCCTGACCCCAACATGGGGTCCTTTTTGTCAGAGGATACTGACAGGCACAGCACAGAGGTGCTCTAGAAGCCGCAGCACACACCATACCAGCACAGCCTGTTCCCCGGCACCAGAGTGGACTTCAACTCTCTATCCTGTGGCAACCTGCCCCCAGGCCCCGGAGGCCAGAGGGCTCCCACAGAGTGAGGAGCTGAGCAGGGCAAGACTTGGGCCTTGTCTGCAGTACTCCCACCCTGGAAGTTCTCTGACACAGGAAGCCTGAGCCACTCGGGACTGGAGAGGGCCCCAGGGTGGCCTGGACCTTCCATTAAAGGGTACCCCTCTCCAAGTGCCCTCAAGTCCTTTTAATCCATCAGAGTTGACCTCTAACCAAAAGGCAGTGGCTGAGTCCCTGAAAAGCCAAACCCATCGGCAGCCCACCTTGGCAAACAGGCCCTGGCCTCACTCACGACCACAGGTACTTTGAACACCCCAGGTTCTCCATCCCAGCCCTCAAGAGTAGAGCCCCGAGCCCTGCTGCCTGCCTCCTACTCTCCGCCTGCTGCTCTGGTCAGTGAGGGCCCCAGGGCTGGCTCGCCATGCTGGTCTATTCTGCTTTGGTCATGCTTCCCCTGTACTCAGCCACTGACTGCTTCTCACTTCCTATCACGGCCAAATGCCATCAGCTTTCTGGGGCTCTCGACACATCTCTGCCTCCCCACAGTCCTCCCACATGGCAGGCTGGTCTCCTCACCACCTCAAAACATGCCCTGCACTGCTTCCTTGCCTCTGCTCAAATCCCCCCATCTCTTCCCCTCCAGCTTCTAGACTCTTCCAAAGGTGCAGACCACTCTGCTCTTCCAGGCCACTGCCTCTGGGCCCAGACGCTCCCACCTCACCAGCCTCCCTCTGCCCAAAGCCTACTGGTTATGAGCCATCGGGACTGAGGCAGTCCCAGGTGTCAGTCGATGCCTCTCCAGCTCCAGGTGAGCCTAACGTTGGTGCAGACCCAGCCCAAGGACTCACCAGAGGGGACTGAGGTCAGGGCCATGGTCCCGTAGTAGGAGAAGGCACCCGTCTCAAACTTCATGTTCTCCTTCCCTGCCTCCACCTCCACCTTGCCCTGAAAGAACATGGGGTTGGGGTTACGATAGGGTGAGAAGGAGAAAGCACAGCGGGAGGGGGAAGAACCCAAGGACTAAGCAGGACACGGAAGTGAGGATCAAGTGGGATGGTGGGCGCAAGAGGAAGAGCTGGTTCTGCCCCCTGAAGAGTCAGGACTCTGACCTTGAGGCTCGGCAGCCTCTCCGGGAGAGGAGGGGCCATGTGGGGCAAGCCGAGGTTCCGGGGCAGGCTGCACCCCCTCCGCATGTGCCCCGAAGCGCTGGGCTCCCGGTGACGCCACAGCAGAAGTGGAAAGAGGACACAAGAGAGCACTGTGGGGGGGGGAGCAGGCTGGCGTACCCCAAGTCGAGGGTGCTCACCTGCAGGATAAGGACAAAGTAGTCAGCTGGTTTATTTCGGGTGTACAGGTAATGGCGGATGTAGTGCTTGTTGTGCTCGTCGAACTTGAGTTCCTGAATGACGTCTGGGTACTTGAGCAGTCGCAGCAGGATCTTCTCTGATATCAGTGAGGGGCTAAACTGGGGGACCTCTGGAGGAGGAGAGAGAGGAGACTTGGCCCTGGAGCTTAGTCATTGCCGTGTCTCCACCCAAACCACAGCAACCACTCTGTGGTGAGACGGCTCCCTCCCTGCTCCAGCCATCCCTTCGGTTCTGCGCCTTCCCGGGGAGGAAGCACATTTGGCTTCTGATTGGTTGGACTCAATTTTTATTTGCCAGACTGGGCTTGAAAAGTGGCTCCTGCGCATAGTGCATGACCTTGAGCAAATTACTTAGCCTGTGCCTCAGTTTTCTCATCTGCAAAATGGGGAGTAAAACTTCATAGGGCAGATGTGAGAATAAATGGGGTAGCACATGTAAAACACTTTATAAATGTTACTGTAATTATTAGTGTAATATCAACATCAATATCCCAGCAGAAAAAATAAAGGAGAACGAGTTATCGCACACTTAGCAAGTGAGGGTGGGAAGGGAGTTGAATTGGGGGAGAGAAGAAAGACTACACAGGTGTTTTTCTAATCTGTCACCCAGGTCCTCAAGGGAGCTTTAAATCGGGGTGCAGAAAAATAGAGAGCAATGTCACTGATCACGAGGTAAATTCCTCGGGACCAGCACAGGCAGGCAGAGAGGAGCGCAAGGAGATGAGAACAGAGCTGAACACAGGCTCTTCCAATGGGATCTCCCCAGTGAAAGGGCCCCTTCTCCTTCCTATTCCACAAGCCCTGATAGTCTTGGCAAGCCTGGGAACCCACTTCGGTGGTTATTTTCAAAGCTAACTCAGATGCTTCCTAGAAGTTCACAGTGGCAGCCCATTCCTGGCAAACACACAGCAGAAAGAGCCCTGGGGATGGAAAAGACGTCTGGCGCCTTCCGGGGCAGCTGCTGTCCCCACACCCTTCTCCTGCTACATCTCTCATCCCGCGGGGGAAGTAGCCAGAGGTTACTTTCTACCTCTGTGACTGTATTTCCACCAACACTGGAAGATCCCCCTCATGTTCTTACCTGTGGCCAGAAAGCGATGAGCAGCCAGAAGGAGCTGAGGGGAAATTTTCACTTTGAGTTCACTGTCAGTATCCTTGAAGGCCGAGAAGTCGCGCTTGTTCTTCTCAGACACCCGTTTTCGGCTTCGGTTGTCAGCTGCCAGAGGCATAATGTGGAAATGAGAACACTGCCCTCTGAGAACTCAGAAAGAAGCTGGAACTCGCCTCCCCAGGCCTCATCCCATGCAGGTGCAGCAGGCTCTTGCCAGCAGGGTTCCAGGCTGAAGCCAAGGCATGGAGACCGGGGGTGAAGGCAGCCTCCTCGCACTGCTCTCAGCAACGTGCTCCCTGCCTGCCCTGGTCATAGGGGTGCTGGGCCTCCTGTGTCCCTGCACTATGGTCCTTCTACCTAGGGACACAAGATTTCAGATCTGAGTGGGCAAGGGGTTCTGGAGGCTGCAGAGAGGGCTGAACTCACTGTACATGTCCGACTCGTCCAGGATCTCGGACTTGATGATCTCCTCAATGACGTCCTCCAGGGTGACCAGACCTAGGACCTCATAGAAGGGGTCGCCCTCGCCCTCGTTGTTCACTTTCTGCACGATGGCCAGGTGGGACTTCCCTGTGGGGCAATGCAATGAGTCAGACAAGAGCCCAGGGCCGGTCATGAGACTCCCTCCACCAAAATGTTAACACATCTAGGGCCATCATGAGTCACTGGGGTGGGGTCAGGGTAGTTTTTCCCTTTTCCGTATTTTCTGAAATTACTACTGCAAATGGATATTGCCTTTAAGAAAAGGAAAACCAAAAGCTTTTTGTTTTGTTTTTTTAGTGTTGGAACCAATTATTTTATTGTAATGATATTTGGCTTATAATGGAATTCTGGACATTGAGGAACTTATGACAAGAAAAAAAATCAACATTTTATATATTTTTCTAATATGTGGTAACATGTGACCCAAAAGTATTTTTTAAAGGCATTTCTCTTAGGACCACTTGTTCACATAGGATGAAAATGGCAAGGCCCTGCTTCGTGCCACTAATCAGGGGCTAAGTCTCTGGGAGGGGAAAGGCCCATACTGACGAGTCACAGAGCCCTTGACTGGGAACAGATAAAGCTTCTGGGGTGGGCCCAAGGCTGCCCACCCCCACAGGGCCTCAGGGACCACACTCATGCTCCTTCACATAGCTCTCCTGGGCGCCTGCCCTGTGTGTCCCTGAAGCCTGCAGAACTGCCCAGAGCAAGGGCTCTCATCTCTAAAACCATTCACAAAGTAGCCCACTGTGATTAGGCCAGGCACAGCCTATAATTAGAGAGGGCCCGCCCCCTCAACCCAAAGCAAGAGAAAGTCAGCAGGCAGGGGTGGGGCAGAACCCTCCACAGAACCTTTGTAGGGTGGCTGGGCTATCAGGGCCCTCTGTTGGGTGTCCACCCCGCTCTCCTGCAAGCAGCAATGGGGAAGCAGCCTATAAAGGCTCGGCCCACATCTAGGCTGAATGGTACCGTGCGCGTCCCACTAGTGAGGATACAGGTCTAGAGCAGCCTGAGGAAAAATGTCCCAGGAGATCTGTGAAGATCAAGTCAGGATCTCCTGTACGGCTGCCCCCTCACAATCCAACCCTCAGGGCTTCTGCACTCTAAGGACTAAAGAACTCATCCTAAATTCTCTTGGTGTAGGACATTTTCCAGATCTTTAAGGCCACAGAAAATCCCAGAGCCTCAGGATGGGCTCTTTATAATTCCTAGGGGCTTCTTAGGGAGAACAGAGAAAATGCTGGATCTCAAGTAAATATTATAGTACATTTCATGTGATGAGGGGGAGCACTGCTTTGTGAAAGTTTTTCACATATATGTCATCACTGACATACATATTTCCCACTACAGGTTGTGGTCAAAGAAGCTTTAGCACCTTGCTGGACAGAACTAAGGCTAGACGCAAATAAAAATTCTCTAGTATCTTCTAGAGGGATCTGCCAACACCCTCTAGCAGGCAGCAGCTGATCAGGGCCAGGACCCTGGGGTCTGCACCCCAGGCCTCTGTGCCTGCTGGACACTGCCTGTATTGGAGTGTCCTCTAGAAAGAAACAGTGCTTTGAGAGGCCTGGTAGCCCAATAAACTATGTCACCAAATAGAGATGTGAATTAAAGCAAGGCAGCATTTATAGGTTGAGTAGCTCTTATCCGAAATGCTTGGAACCAGAAGTGGTTCAGAGTTTGGAATATTTGTAGAATATCTATCAGTTAAGCACCCCAATCCCAAAATTGAAAATATGAGCCGGTCATGATGCTCAGCCTGTAATCCTAGCACTTTGGGAGGCTGAGGCAAGAGGACTTCCTGAGCCCACGGGTTCAAGACCAGCCTGGGCAACTTGGTGAGACCTCGTCTTTACAATAAATCATAAAAAAATTAGCTGGGCATGGTGGCGTGCACCTGTAGTTCCAGCTACTTGGAAGGCTGAGGTGGATGATCACCTGAGCCCAGCAGGTAAAGGCTAGGGTGGTTGTGAGCATGCCACTGCACTCCAGCCTGGGCGACAGAGTGAGACTCCAACTCAAAAAAGAAAGAAAATATGAAATGTTTTAAGTGTCATGTTGCTATTCAAAACACTCTAAACTTTGGAGCATAAAATAAAAGATTTTGGATTTTCAGCTTTGAGATGTTCAACCTGTATCCCCTTCCAGACTGGCACCCTCTAAAAAGCCTGGCACTGCCCAGTACTGGCAAGGGATGGGAGAGATAAACAGATCCTCACACATATCTGGTGGAGGTTAGGTAAAAGGGTAGAACATTTCAGGAGACCAGCTGGGCATGATGTCTTAAAATTAAGGGTCCCTAACCTTAGACCTAGAAGTTCTACTTTTAGGACTTACCCTAGGGAGATGGCAATCTTCACAAAATCAGAAAGACACAAAAGTGAGGGAGTTCTTGGCAGCATTCTTTCTAACCAGAAACAACCTAAATCAATAGCAAAGGGGCACAGGTACTCAACTTGGGCCACAGCTGCACCAGGAAGTATGCGGTGGAACTAGATGAACGAAATACAGAACAGAAACCAAGATGCGCCATTAGTGAAAGAGCAAGCCATGGGATAGACTCACGGTGCCATCTGCTTGCACAGAAATGGGGGGATGTATGGGCTTGAACTGCCCTGGAAATGTCTGGAGCAGTAGGAGTTGTCACCTTTGGGGGGCGTTTGCAGTTTGGGAGAGGAGCGCTATTATCCCTTTCGCTATACCTTTCTATACTGTTCAATTTGATAAGCATGTTTCACTTCTATAACTAAGAATAAATAAATAAATAAAAGACAGAATTAAGAGGAAAAATACAATTAAGGTTTTTAAAGGAAAACCAGTGAGTGTCTGGGGTGGGCAAGGACTCTGTGTGCTTGCCACTGCCACGTATCCAACCCTGGGGGACGGAGGTATGTCCTCTGATATGATTCAGTGGGCAGGACCTTACTTAGACACCAAAGAGTTAGAGGACACCTCCCCACAATGAATCCTCTACTTGCCCCAGAGGTTCAGACTGAATCCTGACCAAGAAATGGTCACATTTGCACGGAGCCTCACAGGGGAAGTCTGGTGGTTTCTTGAAAGGACAAAACAGCCCTCCTGTGGATGAATGAGCTGATTCCCTGGGAAGGATCTTGGTGCCACTCTCAGTACCGCCCTGCCCCCTCACCCCTCACCCAGAGGCTCCTTTGTTTGTGGGCGCCACTGCTGCATGTGGGCACCCTCTGGTGGCAAGCACCTGCATGACAGGCACCTTGTAGGTGTGCGGCCCTGGGGTGCCGTGTATACCTTCCCCCCACCCCCGCTTTTTTTTTTTTGAGTTGGAGTCTCACTCCGTCGCCCAGACTGGAGTGCAATGGCACGCTCACAGCCACCCCAGCGTCAACCTGCTGGGCCCAGGCTATCCTTCCACCTCAGCCTTCCAAGTAGCCAGAACTACAGGCACGTGCTACCATACCCGGCTAATTTTTTTTCGATTTATTGTAGAGATGAGGTCTCGCCAAGTTGCCCAGGCTGTTCTCGAACCCATGGGATCAGGCAATCCCCTCACCTCAGCCTCCCAAAATGCTGGGATTACAGGCTTGAGCCACTGCACCCAACCCACCCCTGCTCTTTGAGCTAAGAGCTTTGGGTACTAGTGCTGCTGATGGCTGACCAGTTGGAGGTTTATACAAAGATTTCTGGGTAAGGGACCAGTCAGTCTCCCTCTGTTGGGCCAGCCATAGGCCTCTGGGCAGTGTTTGCCTTTTTCTAATTTGTCTGCCCAGAGAGGACATCTTTTTATCCAGCAGAACTGTCTCCTCCCCTGGCCAGAGAACCTCTGGTCAAGGTCACTGATGGCCCCAAATGGCAGGGTTTGATCCTCAGATGACCTGCTGACAAAGAGTCACTCCCTTCTCTCCTCCTGGAAACCTTTCCTCCCCTTGGCTTCTGGTGTTCCTGACCTCGAGGGTCACTCCTTTTCCCTGACTTCTTAATTGCTGGAGGGACCCTGCATCTAGTCTCTCGCCTAATGACTTTTAAATACAAGCTATATGTCCAGGTGTCCCAAATAAATATCTACAGCCCTGTCCTCTCCTGTACACTCTAGACTCCTCTATCCAGCTGCTGACAACTCTAACACCTTGAAATCAACACAGACAAAACCAAGCTCCAGTCTTTCCCCTTGACTCACCCATCTTCCTTCAGGGCATCTCTGCCCAGTTATTAGTCCACTCGAGAGTGAACCTGGCCTCCTCTCTTTATTCCTCAATATTCATTCAGCAGGAGAAGAAAAGGGGAAGGGGAGAGGGGTGCAGGCTAGGGGAAGAATTATTCTGGATTTTAGTAATTTAGAAGTTCCTATACATCAGAAATTACTGCTGATTTACTGTATAAAATAAGTAGATCACCTCAGACTTATATTTATGATTCTCCTTGCATAAATTCTAACATGAAATTTTATTTTAATGAACTTTCTCATTTATTATTGGTGTTCATGCAATTAGATGATTCGATTTTAGGGGGTGGCCAGGGTGAGAAATGAAAAATGAAAATTTTAAGCCGGGCTCGGTGGCTCAGCTTGTAATCCCGTGCTTTGGGAGGCTGAGGTGAGTGAATTGCCTGAGCCCGTGGGTTCGAGACCCACCTGGGCAACTTGGCAAGACCTCATCTCTTACAATAAATCAAAAAAATTAGCCGGGGGTGGTAGCGCGCGCCTATAGTTCCAGCTATTTGGAAGGCTGAGGCGGAAGGATCGCCAGAGCCCAGCAGGGTGAGACTGCGGTGGCCGGGAGCATGCCACTGCACTCCAGCCTGGGCGACGGAGTAAGACTCTAACTCAAAAAAAAAAAAAAAAAAAAAAATTGCTGATATGCTTTTTTTTTAACCAAAAACAGCAATTCCATATGGTTTAATTTCAGGATAGTTCTTATTTTCTTTTTATATTTTTCTGTATAAAAATTTCAAATTTTCCATAATCAATAGAATTAATTTTATAATCAGAAAAAATACATTAAAGTAACTTTTTTTGAAGGTTCTCAATTTATTTTTTATTGGTACATAAGAGCTAGGCAATTTTATTGGTACATAAGAGTAACTTAAAAAAAAAATTCAAATACTGCCCTCTG